TGCGCACCACCACACACGCCTAATTTTTGTGTTTAGCAGAGACGGAGTTTCACCATGTTGACCAGGCTGGTCTCGAGCTCCTGGCATCAAGTGATCCACCCACCTTGGTCTCCGAAAGTGGTGGGATTACAGGCATGAGCCACTGCGCCCAACCTTAAATCTAAATTATCAAACCAATCTAAACTGTCCAAAGATTCATCTTAAGTAAACATTAATTCTTAAAATGTTTCTGAGCTAGACATTTCTGTAAGAATTTTGTAAATATATAGCACATTTAAAGTATTAGAAGTTCATTTAAACATTTTCTGTTATTTATAGCACTGTTAGATTCATATGTTATTATCTATAAATTAATCACAACTGACCTCCTCAGAGATACATTATGATCAGATTTAGTATTGCCCTTCATGGGTAGGAAATTATTTTATACTTTACATGAGAGAGAAAGAACTTTCTAATTTACAGAAAAACATAAGATATATGGAGAGTTTATTGCTTCAGTTCTACAGCTTCTACCACAGGTCGAGTGTAAACGTATAAATACGAAACTCTGTTAGTCTAAATATGAAAGAATTGTTCTCCTTCACAATAGGCACAAAATTCTTAATTGATTTGATTTTGCAAATAGACAAGCAAAAAGCCTAAACGAACCAGTTTCTCTGCTTCTCACCCAACAGAGAACGGTACTTCACCATCTGCCCAGTAGAGATCACCAAATGGCCAAACAATAAAAACAAATTGCCAATTGTTGCTGCCACCAAATCAAAATAACTTTTTGTCATGTGCAACACAAAAATCAATAGCAAGAAGAAAATTAAAGCTACAGAAATAGAATCAGCAATGTTAAAGTTCTCTTGCTGCCTGGGATTCTTCTGGCAGCCAAGAAAAATATGCTTGGGCTTAAATAGACTTGAGGTGCATTTCTCCAGGATCACAGTTTACTTGTCTCCATCAGGTGAGTCAATTTGAACATCTCCATGCACCCTCCAAAACTGTCGATATATAATTTCAAACCATGTAAAATCATATCACTCAGGCAAATATAAAGTGAACAAGTATCAAAGATTTTATTTGACTCATTAATAAATGAGAGAACCATTAAAATGTCATGATTGGGTCAAACACCATTTTAAAACATAGAATATTGATAGGATGGTAAACTTCCTGCATTAGATACAAGGTGAGTAATGTCTCATGGAGCCATAAAACTTTGAGGTTATCTCTCTACTGGACAGCAATTATCTGCATCTAGACCAGACAAAAATCTACATGTTAATATGCAACTTCTCTAAATCTGGAACCTTAAACAACTAGTAACAGTGAGTTGAATGACTTACTAACCTGGGTCCCCTAGTCCAAGGGTCAGCAATTTACAGCCTGTGGGCCAATCTGGCCATGCTTACTTGTTTGTATATCGTGTATGGGTGCTTTCATGCTACAAGGGCAAAGTTGAGTACTTGTGAAAGAGACCATATGGCCCACAAAGCCAAAAATATTTATTATCTTGACCATTACAGAAAAAGTTTTCTCACCATTGCCCTAGGCAATTCTTGAGTTGCCTGCACCTTCTTATGAGATTGAAACTATGTGCCCCATAACTCTTTTTGCATTACTTCTAAGTTTCAGATAATTTTTCTAATACTGCTTTGATTCCGCCTTGGTAGAAATGCTCTCCCACTTTTGGGTTCATGCATTTGTTTATATCCCTCTTATAACATTGTATTATGGTATTATGATCTTTACTAGATTTCAGCTTATTGAGAAGATTTCATTTATCTTTATATCTGCTATAGCACTTAGCACAGGGCCTTGAAAATAGTAAATATTCAACAAATCTTTGCTGAAATTAATGGAATCAAAACAAAAATGTGAATGTGAAGGCTCAGGGAAGCCTGGAGGTTAGCATTGTTTAGGGAGGATTGCAAAGATAGTTGGCTGGGGGAGTAAATGAAGTTTTATACAAAATTATAAAAATGTAAAAATATTGCTAATTCTTCTGCTGAATTTATTTATCTTCAAGGATTCAATCACTTACCTACAATGTGCCATAGTGCCTCCATCTCTGTGGTATGAATATAATTTATCAGTTACCTATCTGGAATATGTCATAGTTGGTTCATGTTGCTATGAAGGAATACCAAAGGCTGGGTAATTTATAAAGAAAAAGGGTTTATTTGGCTCATAGTTCTGCAGATTGGACGAGGAGCATGGCACCAGAATCTGCCTTTGGTTAGGTCCTCAGGCTGCTTCCACTCATGGCAGAAGGTGAAGGGGAATTCAGCCTCTGCAGAGATCACATGGTGAGAGCAGAGGCAGGAGAGAAGTAGTAGGTGCCAGACTCTGTTTAACAATCAACAATCAGCTCTCACTGGAACTAATGGAGTAAAAACTCACTCATTACTCAGAAGACTGAACTAAGCCATTCATGATCTGCCCCATGGCCCGAAAACCCCCATTAGGCCCCTCCTCCAACACTGGGGATCAAAGTTCAGCATGAGATTTGGAGGATCAAATACTCAAACTATAGCAGAATGTCATTAGACCCATGAAATATAACTTGCATTTTATTGTTCTTACTAGAAATTAGCACATTTGATCAATAAAAGTTTAGCCAGTATTGACAATGCCAAAATGTTGAAAAGTATTTTTATGTAATAATATGTTTCAATTAAAGAAATGGAACCATGTTGTGACAAATACTTTTTTTGTTACTTTCATATGTAACATATAATTTAGAATATGTACAATTGACTTTGTATTTGTTCACTTTATATTTACCTTGAACAATGTGAAGGTTAAGAACTCTGACCCCTACACATACAGTTTAAAATCTGCAAATAACTTACGACTTCTCCAAAATTTAACTGCTAATACCCTACTGTTGACAGGAAGCCTTACTGATAACAGTCGATAAACACAAATTTTATATGTTGTATGTATTATATACGGTATTCTTACAATAAAGTAAGCTAGAGAAAAGAATATTAAAATTATCAGACAGATTAAATATATTTACTGTTCATTAAGTGGAAGTGGATCATCGACAAAGTCTTCATCTTTGCCATCTTCTTGTGAGTAGGCTGAAGAGAAGAAGGAAGAAGAGAGGTTGGTTTTGCTATCTCATGGGTGGCAGAGTTGTAAGAAGTGGAGGAGGTGGAAGGGGAGGGAGGCAGGAGAGGCAGGAACTCTCAGTGTAACTTCTGTGGGAAAAAAATCCACGTGTAAGTGAACCTGTGTAATTCAAAATTATGTTGTTCAAGGATCAGTTGGAGTTTGAATGACGAAATTTTGGGTTTTCCAGGATATTTGGGTGGTATATGAAGACAAGTAGGCTGAATGTTACCTTGACTGCCCTAAAGTTTCAAGTCATCATGCAAATTGTACACAGGAAATATCATCTGAATTAATTTGAAATATGGTTTTGTCCTATCATGAAAGGGAAGAAAGTGGATAAACAGCAAATGCTTTCATTTTTAGCTTATAAATGAGCAGTTCAAGCTTAGTCTTACTGCCATTAGCAGGCTTTGACCCTGGCTCATCTGACATTGAATCAAATATATCTGTAAATAAACTCTCAAATTATGAAATATATTATTTCAGCTTGAGATATTTGTAAAATCTCTGGGTTTTCCTAAAATACAATAATTTTAAGCATACTTAAAATATTTTACTGCCTTTCCAAGTTTACCTGAGCCTATATTTTTGTGTAAAGGGTTTTAAAATTTTTGGTATGAAGGATTGTTCAGCTAATGGAAGATACTATTGTTTTAAAAAGTAATTAAATGGGTTAGTCATTTCAGATATTTAAGTGAGAACGCAATTTAGTTGATTTCACAGTTAACAATTTAACATCAATAAAAAGGAGCTCCTAGTTTTCTCCATGGGCTTGTGTGAAACAAATGAATAGCAATTAAAATATGATATTTCCACTAGGGCTTAGACCATCATTTTTCTAATTATGGTATAAATCTCTCAGTGGAAAATAATCTTCATCTATAAAGAAATAATTCCCAACAGAAATCTTATATCTTGTAGAACACCAATTATTATACATTTCCCAATACCTTTGCCAGGGGAAGTATGCATCAGTCAGTGAATTAAAATCATGGCATTTAAGGGAAAGATAAACTATATTAGAAGCAAGTAAAGCATCGAGTACATGAAATAGCTCATTCAACTTTATGTCTTGATTTTGTTTCACTAAATTGGGAGTGTTTTAATATCTGTTTTCTGCTATTGGGTAAAATTGAATGAGCTTTATTTCATAAAGAATAACGCACTCTTATACTCTTATTCCCTCTCATTTAGTTTGCTAGCTGTATAAAATGGACTTACTGTTCATGACATAATTTGAATGGTAATATAATCTATAGCCCTTAGACTATTGGCAAGGCTTACATGTTATGATTTAAATGGACATCAACAAGGCTCTATATATATAATAAAAACAAACAAACAAAAACAAGGCCTTTTAATTCATGCTGATGACAATAGCTTAATTATTTGTATGGTGGTTTGTAAAAATTAGTTGGCTGAAATGAATTAACCTTCATGCCATAATCCATTCATCTCATTCACTTGGACATGGAATATGGGTTCTTCATTAAAATAGAAGTATATTACATTTATTTATTAAATCTACTTTAAAACATTTAGAAACATCAGAAATTTATTACTCACAATTCTGGAAGCTGGGAAGTCCAAAATCAAGGCAACAGCAGATTGTCATTTTCTGGTGAGAGCCTGTACCTCGTAGATGGCTCCTTCTATGTGTCCCACATGGCAGCAGGGAAAAGGGGATCCTGCAAGTCTCTTTTGTAAGAGCCCTCTTTTATTCATGAGCCCTCATGATCTAATCATCTCCCAAAGATTCCATCTCTTAATACTATCACAGTGATGATGAAGTTTCAACATACGAGTTTTGAGGAAATATCAACATTCAGACCACAGTAATTTGTCTATGCTCTCTGGGCATTTATGTTTCAGCTGGAAAGGTTAGAATGCATCAGGAAACAAGCCAGGAAGAGACTGTGGATCCAGAAGCAGGTAAGATCCTGAGGGAAGTGGGCAGGGAAAGCCCTGGGGAGGTAGTGCGTCTGTACCTAGTGTTCAAGGCATGGCAGGATGTGAAGGTGCATGGGCAGGCAGAGAGTTGGCAGAAAGCATCAAGAAAGGCATGGGTTGGGGAGAAGACAAGGTGTGGTAAGAGGCAGTGAATAAAGAGTCCCACTGGAGTAGATTCCTTGGAGAGGAGCCAGGAGCTAAAGGGCTATTTCTGATACAGGAAACAGAGCATCCCGCAAGTGTCACTCTGGGTATGGGGAATCTACGGGCAGTTAGTGTTTTTTTTTTCCTTAAAAAAAGAGAAAAACTCCTATTTTAGGTTTGTGGGCACATGTGAAGGTTTGTTACATAGGTAAATTTGTGTCATGGGAATTTGTTATACAGATTATTTCATCACCCAGTTATTAAGCCCAGTACCCAATAGCTATCTTTTCTGCTCCTTTCCCTCTTCTCACCCTCCAGCTTCAAGTAGACCCCAGTGTCTGTTGTTTCCTTTCTTGTATTCATAACTTCTCATCATTTAGCTCCCACTTATAAGTGAGAACATGTGATATTTCGTTTTCTGTTCCTGTGTTAGTTTGCTAAAGGTAATAGCCTCCAGCTCCATTTGTGTTCCCGCAAAAGACATGATCTCATTCTTTTTCATGGCTGCATAGTATTCCACAGTGTATATGCACCACATTTTCTTTATCCAGGTTGTCATTGATGGGAATTTAGGTTGATTACATGTCTTTACTATTGTGAATAGTACTGCAATGAACATTTGTGTGCATGTGTCTTTATGGTAGAATGAATGATTTATATTCCTCTGGGTATATACCCAGTAATGGGGTTGCTGGGTCAAATGGTAGTTCTGCTTTTAGCTCTTTGAGGCATCACCATACTGCTTTCCACATAGTGGAACTAATTTACACTCCCACCAACAGTATAAGTTTCCTTTTCTTCCCAACCTCACCACCATCTGTTATTTTTTGACGTTTCAATAGTCATTCTGACTGGTGTGAGGTGGTATCTTATTGTGGTTTTGATTTGCATTTTTCTAATCATCAGTGATATTGAGCTTTTTTTCATATGCTTGTTGTGCACATGTACGTCTTCTTTTGAAAAGTATCTGTTCATGTCCTTTGCCCAGTTTATTATTATTATTATACATTTTTTTTTTTTTTTTTTTGAGATTGACTCTCTCTCTGTTCCCCAGGCTGGAGTACAGTGGCATGATTTCAGCTCACTGCAACCTCCGCCTCCCGAGTTCAAGTGATTCTCCTGCCCGAGCCTCCTGAGTAGCTGGAATTACAGGCGCCTGCCACCATGCCCAGCTAATTTTTGTATGTTTAGTAGAGATAGGGATTTGCCATGTTAGCAAGGCTGGTCTCAAACTCCTGACCTCAGGTGCTCTGCCTGCCTGGGACTTCCAAAGTGCTGGGATTACAGATGTGAGCCACCGCACCTGTCCCTTTGCCCACTTTTTAATGGGGTTGTTCGTTTTTCTCTTGTAAATTTGTTTAAGTTCCTTATAGATGCTGGAAATTAGACCTTTGTTAGACTCAGAGTTTGCAAATATTTTCTCCCATTCTGTAGATTGCCTGTTTACTCTGTTGATAGTTTCTTTTGCTGTGTAGAAGCTCTTAAGTTTAATTAGATCCCGCTTGTCAATTTTTGTTTTGGTTGCGATTGCTTTTGGTGTCTTTGTTATGAAATCTTTGCCCTTCCCCATGTCCAGAATGGTATTGTCTAGATTGTCTTCCAGGGTTTTTAATGAAATCTACTTTGAATAAGTAGAAATACAAATTGTATTATAAATACAAATTTGCATTCTGACTATAATAAGTATAAATAAAATCTAATTGATTATTAGATAAACAATAATAAAAACTCCCAAATAATAATTATATCTCTGCATTAATCAGCTTTAAGTCAATGTTTGGCATATCACCATCACAGACAGTTATTAATTCCATTTATACATGTCACTGGGTATTATTCAAAGGAAGTAAGACAAAATGGTTCTTGCCTCTAGATGTTTATAAGTTATGAAAATCACCACTGACACAGACTTGAATGCTTCTTTACATCAAATGTTTTCATAATGTCTCAGAATTGGAAGAGAAGTCATCTAGTCCAACTTCCCACTCACTGCAGAAATCTGACCTGTAGTTTGACTAATACGCAGTGTCCCATGGGAAAAAATGGGCTTTGCAGTCAGACCTGAATTCAGATCCCAGTTTTACAATTCATTAGCTGTGTTACTCAACATTACTTAACATGACTCTTTATCTCCTAATCAGTAGAATAAAAATAATGATGATGTTTACCTAGGCTAGTATTTATTGAAGCAGTCATTATGTGCTAGGTTTTTTTTTTTTTTTTAACATAGTAAGTACTTACATTTTAACCACCCTTCCTTGTTTGTCATATTTAGGGTTTCCTAAGTAATATGTGTTAATTGTTTAGCATAACATAAAATACTTTTCCCTTGCCAGGTACAGATCAATAGGCCAGTAGCTACAAGAAGTAAGAGCTGAAGTTTGTCTTTAGCATACTTGGCTTCGCCTTCTCGCAAACACCAAACAGATGAGAGAGGAAAAAAATAATTTTGGTCTAAAGCAGAGGTCTCTAGACTTTTAATTGCAGGCTCCTAACCTGGAGCAACCCCCCCAAATTTAGTTATAGGTAATATACATTAATTACTGTACTACTATGTTCATTGTAAAACATGATAAAAATTAGAAGTTGTAAAACAAGATGAAAAAAAAATCTTAATACAAGAAACTGCTAGCTGGAATATACAAAGAACTCTAAAATCTCAACAACAAAAAGACAAATACTCCAATCTAAAAATGGGCAAAGGAACTGATTTTTGACCAAGGTGCCAAGAATACATAATGGGAAAAGAATAGTCTTGCCAATAAATGTGTTTGAAAACTGAATATCCACATGTATGAAAATAGACCCTATCTCACACATTATACAAAAACCAACTCAAATTGAATTAAAGACTTAATCGTAAGACCTCAAACTATCAAACTACTAGAAGAACACATAGCAGAAAAGCTCTATGACATTGAAGCAGGATTCATTGGTCTGGGCAATGAATTCTGGATATGAGCCCAAAGTACAGGCAAAATAAAAGCAAAAATAGACACATGGGATTACACCAAACTGAAAAACTTCTGCACAGTAAAGTAAACAATCAACGGAGTGAAGAGACAACCTACATAATGGGAGAAAATATTTGCAAAGTATATATCTGATAAGGAATTAATACCCAAAATATAAAGGGACTAAAACAGCTCAATAGCAGGAAAACAAATAATCTGATTTTAAAACGAGGAAAGCCCTTTTGCGGGTGGAGGCGAGTTCGGAGAGGCCTCCCTGAAGGCATAGGGCACACTAGGAGAGTATAAGGTAGTGGGTCCTATCCGCCCACCCCCAAATGCCACACACCGCCCCTCTACCTCATGCGAATCTTTGCACCTAATCATGTCGTCTCAAAGTCCAGCTTCTGGTACTTCGTATCTCAATTAAACAAGATGAAGAAGTTTTCAGGGGAGATTGCCTACTCTGGGCGGGTGTTTGAGAAGTCCCCTCTGCGGGTGAAGTACTTCCGCATCTGGCTGCGCTGTGACTCCCTGAGCCGCACCCACAACCTTTATCGGGAATACCAGCACCTGACCACCGCGGGCGCTGTCACCCAGTGCTACCGAGTCTTGAGCGCCCCGCACTGCGACCAGGCCCACTCCATCCAGATCATGAAGGTGGAGGAAGATCGCAGCCGGCAAGTGCAGCCGCCGTCCTTTAAGCAGTTCCACGACTCCAAGGTCAAGTTCCCGCTGCCCCACCGGGTCCTGCGCCGTCAGCACAAGCCACGCTTCACCACCAAGAGGCCCAACACCTTCTTCTAGATGCAGGGCCCTCGCCCAGATGTGCCCCAAATAAAATCGGGAAGGCCAAAAAATAAAAATAAATAAATAAACAAATAAATAAATAAATAAATAAATTTTAAAAAACGGAGAAAGGGCCTGAATACATATATCTCAAGAGAACACAGGCAAATAGATCAACAGGTATATGAAAAAATGTTCAACATCACTAATCATCAGGGATATGCAAATTAAAACCACAATGAGATATCACCTAAGACTTGTTAGAATAGCTGCTATCAGAAAGACAAAAGATAAATGTTGGCGACTATGTGGAAAAAAGAGAACCATTGCAAACTGTGGGTGGTTATGTAAATTTAGTGCAGCCATGATAAAAAAGCAGTACAGAGATTCCCCCCAAAATTAAAAATAGAGCTACAATATGATCTGCCAATTCCACTTCTGCCTATATAGCCAAAGGAATTGGAAACAAGATCATGAAAAGAGAATACTCACTCCAATGTTTATTGCAGGATTATTCACAATAGCCAAGATATGGAATCAACTTAATTGTCTATCAACAGATGAATGGATATATGGAATATATACACAACGGAATACTATTCAGCCATTAAAAATAAGATAATCCTGTCATTTACAGTAACATGGATGAACTTGGAGGAAATTTTGTTAAGTGAAATAAACCAGACACAGAAAGACAAATACCACATGATTGTACTCAAATGAAGTATCTAAAAAAGTTGATCTCATAGAACTAGAAAGTACAATGGTTGTTACCAGAGTCAGGGTGGTTGCGGGAGGGAGCTGGGATGATGTTGGTCAATGAACACAAAATTGTCAGCAGTAAGTTCAAAAGATCTATTGTACAACATGGTGAATATAGTTAACAATAATATGTTATATTCTTGAAAAATGCTAAGAGGGTGAATGTCAAACGTTCTTGCCACAAAAAGTACTACTATGTAAGGTAATGTGTATGTTAATTAGCTAGATTTAGTCACTCCATAGGGTATATAAACCTCAAAACATTATTTTCAGCCAGGCATGGTGGCTCATGCCTGTAATCCTAGCACTTTGGGAGCCGAGGTGGGTGGATCACCTGAGGTCAGGAGTTCAAGACCAGCCTGGCCAACATGGTGAAACCCCGTCTCTACTAAAAATACAAAAATTAGCCGGGCGTGGTGGCAAGTGCCTTTAGTCCCAGCTAATCGGGAGGCTGAGGCAGGAGAATCGCTTGAACCCAGGAGGCGGAGGTTGCAGTGAGCTAAAATCGCTCCACTGCACTCCAGCCTGGGTGACAGAGCAAGACTCTGTCTCAAAAGACAAAAGCAAAAAACATCATTTTGTACATAATAAATACATACAATTTTGTGTGCCAATTAAAAAATAAAATAGTAAAAATAATAATGAAGTATGTACTTTTTTAATTATTTAATGGAAGCTTGCTCTGTCACCCAGGCTGGAGTGCAATGGCGCAATCTTGGCGCACTGCAACCTCCGCCTCCTGGGTTCAAGAGATTCTCCTGCCTCAGCCTCCAGGGTAGCTGGGATTTCAGGCGCCTGCCACCACGCCTGGCTAATTTTTGTATTTTTAGTAGAGACGGGGTTTCACCATATTGGCCAGGCTGGTCTTGAACTCCTGACCTTAGGTGATCCGCCCACCTTGGCCTCCCAAAGTTCTGGGATTACAGGCTTTAGCCACCGCACCTGGCCAAAGTATACACTTTTTAATGTCCAAAGAATTTGGATAGATATTTCTTCAAATAAGACATATAAATGGCTAGTAAACACATGAAAAAGTTCTCAACATCTTTAGTCATCAGAGGAATATCAATCAAACTCACAATGTGATACCACTGTGCACGTATTAGGTGGATATAATCAAATAAATGGAAAATAACAAGTGTTGGTGAGAATGCGAAGAGATGTAAACCCTCATACATTCTTGGTAGAAATGTAAAGCGGTACAGTTGTTACGGAAAATAGTCTGGTAGTTCCTCAAACAGTTAAACACAGAGTTACCCTGTGGTTCAGAAATTTTACTCCTAAGGTGTACAGTTGACCCTTGAACAACATCAGTTTGAACTGCACAAGTCCACTTATATGCAGATTTTTTTTTCAATAAAAGTTTCAACGAATGTTCTTGCTCCTCCACCTCCTCTTTACCTCTTCCAACTCTGCCACTCCAAGACAGGAAGATCAACCCCTCTTCTTCCTTGTCTTCCTCCTCAGCTTACTCATGTGAAGATGATGAGGATGAAGACCTTTATGATAATCTACTTCCACTTAATGATAGCAAATATATTTTTTCTCCCTTATAATTTTCTCAATAACATTCTTTTTCCAGCTTACTTTATTGTAATAATACAGTATATAATACATATCACATAGAAAGTTTGTGTTAATCAACTGTTCTCAGCAAGGCTTCCTCAACAATAGGCTATTAGTAGTCAAGTTTTCAGGGAGTTGAAAGTTATTTGTAGATTTTTGACTGTGCAGGGGGTCAGCACTCTTAAACCCCATGTTGTTTGAGGATGTATGCTCAAGAGAATTGAAAACATTTGTACTAACAAAGACTTTTTGCATCAATGCTCATAGCAGCATTAACCATACTACCCCAAAATGGAAACAATCCAAGCTTTCATCAGCTGATAAATGGATAATCAAAATGTGGTATATCCATGCAATTAAATATTTTTGGCATTGAAACAATGAAGTAGTGATATATGCTACAACATGGATGAAACTTGAAAACGGTCTGCTAAGTGAAAGAGTCCATCATAAAAACTAATTATATGATTCCACTTATATAAAATGTCCAGAATAGGAAAATCTATATATAGAGAAAGAGTAAATTAGTGGTTGCCTGGAGATCAGGTAAAGGAGGGATGGGGGTGACGGCTAATAGAAATGAGATATCTGTGGAGTAATGAAAATGTTCTAAAATTAGATTATAATGATAGTTGGACAAATCTGAATATACTAAAAACCACTGGCTTTCACACTTAAAGCCAGTGAATGTTATGGTACATAAATTGTAACTTGATAAAGCAATTTTAAGAAATAAACCCCTGTGACACATGTTCGCCTGTGTAACAAACTTGCACGTGTACCCCTGAACCAAAAATAAAAGCTAAAAAATAAAACAAAGTAAAAAAATAAAAACAAAAGAAATTAAAAATATAAATAACGGTTTTTCTGTTTTCCTTCTCATACTTCATGGTCTTGTTCATGTCCTGGGATGTACATGTTTAATTTGGAAACCTCTGGTCTGAAGGTCCTTCTCAGTGGTCCTGAAAATAACCTTATATTGGTAGCCAAAATTTCAGATAGGTAAGATGTAATCCCTAGCGTTAATGACTGACAGCTCAATAGTAAATTGTTGGAGGAGTGAAAATAGCAACTTAACAATACTGAATTGGACCTCAGTTGACCTTCATTTCATTTCCCTGTTGGGCCTATTTTCCCAAATGGGGATTTCCTTAACCAAGAAATCATGTTAACCAATTTTATTCTGATCAAGGTTATTGACTGTGACCTAAGGGATAGTAAACGCATGATTAAACTATTGCCTATCATTTTTCTGGTGGTTACTACAAATATTCAGAGATTTTTAAATGACTGTGACTCTTATACCAAACTCACTCATATCATTTTTAGTAATTGCCATCAAAATTAAATTGGCATAACTCCGTGTTAACATAGTATAGGATCATTCTTCTCAAGGCATCTATCTCTGTTACTAATGTTTCTTTGGCTCTATTTTAGCTACAATGTTTTTACACTGAACTTTTCTCACTGCCACAAATTGTGCACTGCAAAATCATGTAACATTGTTGAAACCCTGTAGAAGATACATTATAAACATTGACAACGTTTTTATAAATTCTAGTAAAATGCAAAACTGCTTGACTATGCAAAATAGTGTATTGTTTCAGGAACAATGTAATTTTATTTGTGGAAAAAATGTTATGAAGGCCGGGCGCGGTGGCTCACGCCTATAATCCCAGCACTTTGGGAGGCGGAGGCGGGCGAATCACTTGAGGTTAGGAGTTTGAGACCAGCCTGGCCAACATGGCAAAAACTCGGCTCTACTAAAAATACAAAAATTAGTCAGGTGCGGTGGCGGGCGCCTGTAATCCCAGCTACTCGGGTGGCTGAGACAGGAGAATCGCTTGAACCCGAGAGGGAGGGTGGGGGTTGCAGGTGAGCCAAGATAGCATCACTGCACTGTAGCCTGGGCGACAGAGCACTCCAGCTTTGGCGACAGAGCGAGACTCCGTCTCAAATAACAATAATACATAAATAAATATATATATATTTAATCATAGTCTCGCTCTGTCGCCCAGGCTGCAGTGCAGTGGTGTGATCTCAGCTCACTGCAACCTCCACCTTCCCGCCTCCCCGGTTCAAGCGATTCTCCTGTTTCAACCTCCAGAGTAGCTGGGACTACAGGTGCGCACCACCACGCCCGGCTAATTTTTTTATTTTTAGTAGAGACGGGATTTCACCATGTTAGCCAGACTGGCCTTGAACTCTTGACCTCAAGTGATCTACCCACCTCGGCCTCCCAAAGTGCTGGGATTACAGGTGTGAGCCACCACGCCCGGCCCTAAAATAAAAATAATAATAATAATAATAATAATAATAATTAAAAAAATAAAATATCGTGAAATTAATGAATTGCTTTGAATAGAGGACTTTGCCAATTTCACTTATGCAGAAAAATAATCAGTTAAGTATATACATATCGCACACCAGACTTTTGAAAACCATGTAATGTATTTTTATTTATATTATACGTACAAAAAGTCTGAATTCAGCATTTTGTTATAGATTTGGGACAGGTTTTTGTGAAAGTTCAATTTGAAGAACAGGAATGGAGAAAAGTGTCTCTCTCGTAATTTCACATTTGTGTACACTTTACAAAGCTGTGCAAAATATCCAAGTCCTCAAGTCCTGAATCCTCATTTCTCATTTAATCTGGTTGCAAACTTTATTTTGTTGTCGTTGTTGCTGTTTTCTAGACACGGGGTCTCACTCTGTCGCCCAGGCTGGAGTGCAGTGGCACGAT